TTCAGCCTGGAAAGCAAATATTTTCAATAATATTAATATTATAACACAAGTATAGGAGAGTTTTTAAAGCAAAACTTAGACTGAAGCCCATAGTATCAAGCACTTACTTTTTAAACTTCCCATTTTTCTTACATTAGATAAATTACAGGATCTAAGATAAGAGGCCAATAAATAACCTAAGATAATTTCTTTTTCTTTTTTCTTTTTTGTTTTTAACCCCAATAAATCTCTTGTATTTATTTTCTCTCTCTCTCTCTCTTTTTTTTTAACCCAAGTAAATCACCTAAGTTAATTTCCAATCAGGAGGCATTATGGTCCTTACACAGCTCATATTCACCAAGAGCACAGTCCACCCTCCACCCTCAACAGTGCTATATGATAACAAAGGAACAAGGGAGGGGAGGGAAAGTATGAGGGTTTTTTTGTTTTGTTTTGTTTTTTGAGAGGAGTCTCGCTCTGTCACCCAGGCTGGAGTGCAGTGGCGCGATCTCGGCTCGCTGCAAGCTTCGCCTCCTGGGTTCACATTGTTCTCCTGCCTCAGCCTCCCGAGTAGCTGGGACTACAGGCATCCGCCACCACACCCAGATAATTTTGTTTTAGTATTTTTAGTAGAGATGGGGTTTCACCGTGTTAGCCAGGATGGTCTCCATCTCCTGACCTCATGATCCACCTGCCTCGGCCTCCCAAAGTGCTGAGATTACAGGTGTGAGCCACCGCACCCAGCCGAAAAGCATGAGTTTTGACAAAAGAACACTAACACTGGGATATGGCTTGCTCCCCTCACCCACCCGGACCCAACCTCCTTCATTCACTCTCTACCATAGGCAGAGAAGGAAAGAAAGGTTTTCACCGAAGGCCCAGACAAACCCATTGAGCTGGAACAAGCAGGCTCCCATGATTCTAACTTGGGCTCAATTTATGTACTCCCTTGTGCTCTGTCCCTCTTCTGGCCATATAACCAAAAAGAGGCTTTTGACAACCTTCACCCCTCTGCTACCAGACCTCCACACCTTCCCACCAATTTACAGCTTTAAGGCCACTTTGGTTAAGTGAGAATACAAATAAAGAAGGCCCATTACTTGAGGGTCCTTCTGCTCTGACGACCTATGTCTGTCTCTTCTGAGGCCAAAGGGGCTGAATCTGGTTCCAGGATGTCACACTGGTAGCTACTCACCTGGTATTTAATCAATCAAGAAGAGGTTTATTCATCCCACACAGAGGGTCTCCTCCCTAGAGGAGGATCTAGTGGTTGATGGGCTGGATTCTATAGCCAAACTGCCAGGTTCAAGTCTCAACTCTGTCACTTAGTAGTTCCAGGACTTTGTACAAATTGTTAACCAAACTGAGTCTCAATTTCCTTGTTTGTAAAATGGAGGTGATGATAATAAGAATAGCCATCTCATAGAGTTGTCTTCTAAAGACAAAATAAATTAGCTGGCACAGATCAAGCCCTTGATAAATGACAGCCTGTGAGCCGAGCACTGCTGGGTCTGAAGCTAATGAGGCTACATACTCAGCCTCACTGTTTGAGGCCACCGTTTGAATTCCAAGATTAAATAGTGCATGCCTTTGGCTCCAAGGGATGGAAGAAGAGAGCATCCAAACCACAGAATAAAATCCACAAGCCTTATTATGATATTTAAGATCTTTCATAATCTACTCCATCCTTCTTTCCAAATAGACCTCCTGCTACATTTCCATACCAGCTCTCCATGTCATCATTAAAAAAAAAAAAAAAAAAAATTAAGCACCTAAATGCCACATTCTGTACTAGGCCAGGTTTTCCCATCTGGTCAACTCAGCGCCTTCTTCTTCCTAGACTCTGCCCAGTCTTCAAGACAGAGCTCAATATCTAGAGCTTCCACAAAGCTGTCCCTGGCTGCTCTGACCCACAGGGCTCCCCCTCATGACCCCTCTGAGGTCTTTGGGTTTTACTTGGCTTTCACCATACATTCATTATTTGGTCATAATGGTTATATTTTATAAGCCTAACTAAAGTATGAGCAACTCAAAAGAAGGGATGAATGTGGCTGGGTACGGTGGCTCACACCTTTAATCCCAGTGCTTTGAGAGGCCGACGTGGGAGGATCGCTTGAGGTCAGGAGTTCAAGGCCAACCTGGACAACAGAGCAAGACCCCATCTCTCCAAAAATAAAAAAAGTGGGGTGGGAATGAATCTTACATTTTTTGCATGTATATCCCTAAGTGACTATTACTGTGCTTTGTACTTAGCAGGGATCAGTGAGTAAATGATTCACTTAATATTTCAGGAGGACATAAATGGCTCAAAACAAACCTATTACCATTCTTTCCGAACAAAGGCCCTTCAAATCAATCCTTCCTCACAGAGGCCTAAAGGCTCAATCTCCAAACCTGGTAAAAGTAGGTTTATAGTTCCACCTGCCATTTATTAGCTGTGTGACCTTAAGAAAGTTATTTCACCTCTCTGTGCTTCCATTTCCTCACTTATACACTGTGGATAATCAAAGTATCTATACTTCTTAGAGTATTTATGAGGATGAAATAAGATAATACATGTAAAGAACTTTGAGGCCTGACACACGGTAATTATTTGAAATATTCATTGTTATAACTACCCAGATAAGCTAAATTCAGCTTATCCAGAATGCCCAAAAAATCATTTTATAAAGTATGCTGGGCCTACAGAGAAAAATATTAGATATTAGCACATAAAAAAATTTTTTTTCGGCCAAGCACAGTGGCTCACACCTGTAATCCCAGCACTTTGGGAGGCCGAGGCGGGCAGACTGCCTGAGCTCAGGAGTTCACGACCAGCCTGGGGAACACAATGAAACCCCATCTCTACTAAAACACAAAAAATTAGCTGGGCGTGGCGGCATGCGCCTATAGTCCCAGCTACTCGGGAGGTTGAGGCAGGAGAATTGCTTGAACCCAGGAGACGGAGGTTGCAGTGAGCCAAGATTTTGCCACTACACTGTAGCCTGGGTGACAGAGTGAGACTCTGTCTCAAAAAAAAACAAAATTTCCCTTCTTCTTCTTCATTCATTTGATCTACTATATTTTGTAAAAGGGAAACAACCAAAAAACTTCGACACCAAAAAGGCATCCATACCCCTGTACAAATATTTATCAGTTGCCTCATGCTATTATAAAATCTCTAATTCAGCCAGAGGTGGTGGCTCACACCTGTAATCCCAGCTGCTCAGGAGGCTGAGGCAGGAGAATCTCTTACACAAGGAGGCAGAGGTTGCAGTGAGCCGAGGTGGCACCACTGCACTCCAGCCTGGGTGACAGACAGAGCGAGACTCTGTATCAAAAAAAAAAAAAATCTGTAACTCTACTGTCCCTTCCACCTCGGCAAAGCTTTGAGTGTGTATTCAACTCAAATATATATATACTTGTGTGTGTATTTTCCCAAAGGCTTGAAATAGGAAAGGAAGATCTGAAGCAAAACTGATTCACTATCAAATTCATCAAGGCTGGACAGGGCCATCAAACTCACTCCTTTCCCATAAAGTGCCTTCTTCAGTTGTGTTTTTCAGTCTGACCCAGGCATCAATGAAGGCAGAAAGCCCAGCCTAAAACCCACAAGGTGAGACTAAATATCTTGTCATCAAAACAGCATATTTTCCATCAAGCCGCTTCTCTCCCTCTTTCTCTCTCTGTCATTTTTTCTTTTTTTTTGGCAGGGGGGCATTTCTACTACTTCTCAATGAGATTTTAAGTCAATTCCATTGTAATACAAAGGCTAAAAGGCAAATAGCACTTCAATGAGACGAAATGAAACTGCTGATAGACAAAAATAGAGAATGGGCAGTTCAAATTCATAAACTGGCATTCAAAAAACAATGAGAACAAAAAAGGCCTAGCAACTTTCTTTCAAGATATTTATGGCCGGGGGAGGTGGCTCACACCTGTAATCCCAGCACTTTGGGAGGCTGAGGCAGGCAGATCATGAGGTCAGGAGATTGAGACCAGCCTGACTAACACGGTGAAACCTCGTCTCTACTAAAAATACAAAAAATTAGCCAGGCGTGGTGGCACACGCCTGTAGTCCCAGCTACTCGGGAGGCTGAGGCAGGAGAATCGCTTGAACCCGGGAGGTAGAGGTGGTGGGCGTCTGCAGTCCCAGCTACTTGGGAGGCTGAGGCACAAGAATTGCTTGAACCCAAGAGGAGGAGGTTGCAGTGAGCTGAGATCAGGCCACTGCACTCCAGCCTGGGTGACAGAGCAAGACTCTGTCTCAAAAAAAAAAAAAGTTACATATTGAAATATGCGAAATAGGCAAAACTAAATACCTCCCAAGCAGCCTACGTCAAGAGTGTCGCCTCAATCTAGAAGATCTATTCATTTGCTAATAAAGAAAAAGACAAAAATGCTTTCTTGAAATCCTTATTCAGGGACAAAAATGTAAATACAGGTCAGGCACACACCTGTAATGCCAGCACACTAGGAGGCCAAGAAGAGAGGATCACTTGAGCTCAGGAGTTTGAAACCAGCCTAAGCAACATAGGGAGACAAAAATAAAACATTAGCTGGGCATGGCAGCACACACCTGTAGTCCCAACTAGTTAGGAGGCTAAGGTGGGAGGATCACTTAAGCCCAGGAAGTCAAGCCTACAGTAAGCCATGATTATGCCTCTGCACTCCAGCCTGGGTAACAGAGTGAGACTTCATCTCAAAAAAAAAAAATATATATATATATAAACAATCTATGCATGTAACAAAATTAAGTGAGATTATTCATTAGCGTATTTGTTCTCTTCCTTCCTCCACCAAGGTTAGCCAGGTATCTGCATCACTAACATGACAATGCCAGCACCAACCTAGTAAAATATAGCACAGACCAATGTATTATGTATCTACACAGAAGTCAAATATTTTATTTCCCTAAAGAACATAAATATTCAAGTTCTGCATGAACATCACATGGGCTAAATTCCTCTCAACTAAAGAGACTGGGACAAAAGGTATCCAAAAATATATAACAAACATGCAATTTATATTATGCAACTTACCTGCAGCGGCTAAACAGGAACTCATCAGGGCAAAGATGGCGATCACATAATGGGAAGTCATTTTTATTTCTCCAACAGTGTGTCTCATCCAGTCACTTCAGCCTGCTCAGAGCACAATCTTTGCAAATCAGAAGTAGTCTTAAAGTCCCTCCTTGCAATTTTCAAATTGCCTGTAAAACAAATTTCAATAAGCAAACTTAATGAAGAAACTTCACAAACGGACACTAAAGTTAAATGGAGAATTTCTGAAAAGCATAATATAAGAAATTTATCTTAAAAGATGCCAAATAGCACTCAAGCAAACTAGACTGAGGGCAGTGACTACCTAATAAAGATTTTTATTGCAAATACTTTTGCCAATGACATATTTGTTTTTGACTTTTGTTTTCTTTTTGAGATGGAGTCTTGCTCTGTTGCCCAGCCTGGAGTGCAGTGGCATGGTCTTAGCTCACTGCAACCTCCGTCTCCTGGGTTCCAGTGATTCTCCTGCCTCAGCCTCCCAAGTAGCTGGGATTACAGACATGAGCCGCCACACCTGGCTAATTTTTGTATTTTTAGTAGAGATGGGGTTTCACCATGTTGGCCAGGCTGGTCTTGAACTCCTGATGTTGTGATCCGCCCGCCTTGGCCTCCCAAAGTGCTGGGATTACAGGCGTGAGCCACCGCGCCTGGCCCTGTTTTGACATTTTAAATCTTTGGTTTTATAGAGAATTTTCAGGACTACAGAAGAAAATCAAGGTGCACCTGAAATATAACATCACCAGTTAAGTTGTGGTACCAAACTTATCAATGACACTTGATACATGCAACCCTAGTGCCAACAAGAAAACAAAACCAGCTCTGATTAGAGACTCAATCTAATGTTATAATAACAGAGTTATCACAAGGATCAAATTAAGTTGCACTGAGAAGCAATCTGAAAAAAATAAAGAAACATAAAAAGGCAAGGTCCTTATTTCAACTGTTTGCCAACATTTTAACAGGAGAAAAGTCTTCCCTGTCTCTCAGCCCATCTGAGACTATCTGGTTACTGGACTTGAGGATCTAGAAGGTTCTTTCTAATCTTTTCCTATCCAGAGTCTTGAATGAGAGTTTTGTGGTGGTTTGCCTAACTTGAATATTCCTCACATGGCCCTAATGGTTACTGATTTAGACACTCCAAAGCATATTTTTCCAGCCCTCTATCCCTGAGCCTGGCACAACTCACAGAAGTTCAATTAACAAACATTTACTGAGCATTTACTATGCTCCAGGCATGGTTCCTTCTCATCAAGAATAAAAGTTATGGGTAAAAGTGCAAGACCTTCCCTGATCTAGGTCCTGGAAAAGGCAGAATGGTGGAGTTTCCAGGCGCCATCTCACACACCTGGGGGTTGTGGCCTTATTATCTTCACTCAGGAAATATCACCCAACAGGAGCTGCCCGCTACCTTCAGAGACAAAGCCAATGTGGGTGCGTGAAGATACAGTACAAAAGAAAATATTTTTAATGAGTTTGTAATTAAATGGTCTTAGTCTATTGCATCAATTGTCAAAGAGAAAGATATTTAAAATGGCTCTTTGAAATTGTAACATTGCCTATGAATAAGGTGACTGCAGGACAGGGGTGGGAGGGAGCGGAAGCCTTTTCACTGAATTCCCTTCTGGGTTTTGTATTAATAACATCTGCAAGTATTACCTATCCAGAAATGATAACAGTAAAGTTCCAATTTCAAAAAGAATTTCTTAGATATGTCTTAAAACTAAATTATTATATAGGCAGGAGGCACTATGGTTCAATCTTGATATATGTTAGTGATTAAAATCCTAGTATGAATAGTATATGGATTATGATAAAGATAAAAAATCTGCCTGGGTGTGAATCCACTCTGCCCCAGTGGTAATGTTAGGCAACTAACATTTCATGAACTCTTCATGAGTGAACATATCCTGTGGTAGGAAATGTATGGTAGGCTGTTGTGAGGATTCAGTTAGTTAATACACATACACAATGCTTAGAACAATCCCTAGTACATAAAAACCAACCAAATAAATGTTAGCTATGATTACTGTACTGTATCACTACTTGTCCATTCTCTTTGAGGTATTTATACCAATAAAGTGGAGAAATTAAGGTATAGTTATTTATGTAAGTCTTAGCTACTGTAAATCCAGTTCAAACTTTTGTTTAGTGAAAAACAAACATTACAACAGACAAAAGGAGATAAGCTAAAGAGTGGACTCACTAAAAGAACAAAATTACCAGTCAAGTTGAGGCATAAGTCATCAATGACACAGCTTGTCTCAAAAGCTGACTAAATTATAGAGATAATTTGGGAGCCATTAAACTGACTTAATTATCCCTCAAAGTCCAACATTTCTGTCACCATAATTCCACATCAACTCTGATCACATGGAAATCTTCTCTGTTAACTTAAAAATTAAACCACCACAAAGAGTATCTGTGTCTATTTTTTTCCCTTCAGAATATTAGATTCCCTAAATTAGTGAACTGGTTTACAAGAACTATAGTGCCTCCTGCCTATGTAATAATTTTGATAAGGAAAAACCTCTCTGGAAGAATATGCTATTTCAGCAAATGTTAAAGACAACTTTTATAAAGCAAAACCCTGTAAGGAGATCTCAGAAGAAGATGACTTCCCAGAGGATTTTACGAAGCACATAAACTGTAAGCGGCACGAGGCTTGTGGGAATATTTAATGAGCTTGCGTCACCCTGCCTACAGCTGCAGTGGGTCTGAGGGTCTGTGCTGCGTTAATCCAGGGGTTTAAACCAGGTCTGAAAGAACCTGTGGAAAAGAAAGGCAAATGGTTCCATTAAAAATATAGGCTGCAAATTGCTGACAAGAATATTGGGCAATTATTAAAATGCAGCAATTACGAATATAATAGAGCCAAGCTAAACAGTTTGATGCCCAAAGGCAAACCACAGCAAGTTTACACCGGATCTTAAAACATCTCTGAGGAAGTCCTGGACAAGTTGAAACTGCACACTGCTGTTTGTAACAAAAAGGGAGCTTTTCTTCTTTTAGCTTAAAATTCTCTCCATAATGTAACTTGTTCAAAAAGAAAATAAACTGCAGAAGGTTTTTGTCTAATCTCCCCAGTGTGGTGAAAGGCTCCCAAGGCAGAGGGGAAGCAAAAGGGAAGCGTGTCATTCTCATTCAGCTGAACTCCAGTTTTGGCCACAGCTTGTACACCTCAGTGCCTTAACACCCAACTTAGGAATCAGTTTCCTAATTAGAATGCTGGATGGACTGAAGGCTTCCGGAAAGTTGTAGCTTTGATAAAACTAAGGAAATATAAACTCCTCTTTTCTTCTGTGAGGTTCTACCACACTGACTGTAAACACCAGGGACTCCCAATCCTGACTTTTTGACCTCAAAGAATCTCTGGACTTTATGAACTAAATGCTTTCTTTAGAAATATGGGTTCTGGCCGGGTGCAGTGGCTCATGCCTGTAATCCCAGCACTTTGGGAGGCCGAGCTGGGCAGATCACCTGAGGTCAGGAGTTCGAGACCAGCCTCGTCAACCTGGCAAAACTCTGGCTCAACTAAAAATCCAAAAGTTAACCAGGCACGGTGGTGCGTGCTTGTAATCCCAGCTACTTGGGAGGCTGAGGCAGGAGAATCACTTGAACCCAGGAGACGGAGGTTGCAGTGAGCCGAGATCATGCCACTGCACTACAGCCTTGGCAACAGAGTAAGACTCCATCTCAAAAAAAAAAAAAAGAAAGAAAGAAATATAGGTTCTGTCTATGGAGTAGCCATTCCTTTATTCCTTTACATTCTTAATAAACTTGCTTTCACTTAAAAAAAAAAGTAGAAATACCTAATGTAAATGATGAGTTAATGGGTTCAGCAAACCAACATGGCACATGTATACCTATGTAACAAAACTGCATATTGTGCACATGTACCCTAGAACTTAAAGTATTAAAAAAAAAAAGTAGAAATATAAATAGGATACTCTGAGATCGTGAAAGAGCAATTTGGAATAATAGTCATTTTGCCCACATTTCAAAGCAACATGTTCCATTTAAAAGGTAGGTGAACTTTGATGAGTTGATGAACACTTAGTATTCATCAATAACATAAGAAAATTCGGAGACTTAATGGTTTTTTTTTTTAAATAATAAATAAATAAATACATAAATAAATGCGCTGCTAATTTCAGAGATCCCCTGGGTTTATTTCTGAGTCCATTAAGTGCACTGCCCCTCATGCCCTCATGACCCAAAAGAGTGCACAGGTAAAGACCAGGATTCGCTGAAAAAATCCCATCCAAATGAATCCTTAAAACCATCATGTTCTAAACCAATATTCAAAAGGATCTAGTTGGGTACAATATTCCCTAAGGTGAGGAGAGAAATCTTGCTGCATCTAAGAGAAAAACTGTGGCAAAATGGATGTCTGGCAATAGGCTAAGAGCCAGTAAGAAAAAATTAGTAGCTTCCCCTTAGATGGCTAACATGGCCTGGCTACATCCATGAGATGATTCAGAATCAGAACTACACTAATCCCCATCTTCAAACAGATTTGGCACAAAGGGAGAAAAAGTCCTAGATTTGGATAAGAAATCTTTGGACTCACATCCAAGCACAATCAATATTCAATAAATATTACTACTACATGCCAGGCACTGTTCAAGATGCCAGGGATATACCAATGAAAAAAGACACCAAAAATCCTGCCCTCAGGGAGCTTATATCCTAGTAAAAATATCATTTACTACTTCACGCAAGACATTTAATTTCCTGAGTTTCTCCGTTCAACAAATCTTTACTGCTTACTCTGCTAAGCAATGGCCAAAGAGACATGTTTTTTGCCCTTGTGGGCTTAAAAGCTGGTGAGATAAACAGACAATAATCACAAATATATAATTACACGATATAATCAGAGCTCTAAAAGAAAAGTATCCGCAACTTGAGGATAAGTGAAGATTTAAAAAGTCAGGTGAGGAATGATATTGCAGGCAGAGGAAGCATTACAGGAGGGAGGAGAGCTGCAGAGCAAAAAGGGAAAGAGAAGAGGAATAAGTTCAAGGAGGGGTTTAAACAGGGAATGGCGTGATCAGATGGGATTATTAAAGATTTCCTTCACACTGTACTGCGAACAGACTGAAGTGAGGCCAGAGTGCCTAGACAATCAGTTGAGATTCTCACAGCATGTCAGACAAGAAAGGATGGAGGTTTAGATCAGAATGGAGCCTCAGTTTCCTCCTTCGTAAAGATTATAACAGACGAAATTTACCTACATCACAGGGTTGTTGCAAGAATCAAATGAGACTGTGCACGTACAGTATTAAAACTATCATTTATCATTAGCAAGCTGTTTCTACCAAAGAGATTTATTATCCTGAGGTGTCAGATTAAAGTCCCAACATTCTGTGGCTGCCAGTGGCAGGAAAAGAAAGGAGGAAGATTACTCTGGAACTACCTGTACTGGTAGGCACAGGGGAGGCAGTAGGCACGGGGAGGCAGTAGGCACAGAGGGTACGAGGAAAGCAGAGAAGCCTGACTCCACTCTACCTGTTCTGTGCCAGCTGCCTTCAGAGGTGAGGTGGGCTGTCCCTCCAAAGCAGGCCCACCCTCATTCCTGGCTGGGAGCATGATCAACAGATCTGGCCCCAGCAGCCTTGGTTTCCTTGGGGCTGAACTTCAGTCCGTCCTTAAAAGCCCTTCCATCTATCCCAAGCACAACACACCTCACTCCCAAGCAAAATACAGGAAAAAGGGAGGGTGGATGTTGATACATTTCACAAAATTGGGAAAGACCATGTTTTATTCAAACTCACAAACCAGGATGGCTTTTTCACCCACCCTTGCAATACTCTAAGAACCACCTTTTCACATTTAAGATTTTTGCATCCAAAGGTTTCTGTAGCTTTTCATTTATAAGGGTGTCTGCTTTTAAGTTACAATTAATAAA